CCAAACATAGGGGAAGGACTGTATGAGTCCCACGCAATGCTGTGAGTGGTATAAGTGGTTTATACACGACAGAAAATCTGTTGGTCACGATCCCAAGCCTGGACGATTTTCACATAAACGGACGATGACCATGGCTAGAGAGTTCGTGCTATGTTCCTTGAAAATTGCCGTTTAACTATTTGGGATGTTGCTGACGAAGTGGGCATCAGTGCAGGATCATGCCATCTAATTCTAGCACGTTTGTGGGATGCTGTGCGCAGGAAGAGGCCTGAACTGTGGATAAACCAGACTTGGATGTTACGTCATGACAATGCGCCGGCTCACGCATCGCTCATTGTCCGCAGCTCTCTAGCAATTCATCACACTTCCGTCGTGCCCCATCCACCCTATCTTCTGGACCAAGCGCCTGCAGACCTTTCCTGTTTCCTAAACTTAACACCACGTGGAAAGGCCGTCTTTTTCAAACCATAGAGGAGATACAGGACAATGCGATAAGAGACCTGCACACCATCCCAAAAAGTGAGTTCCGGGAGGCTTTCCAGAAGTGAAAACGCCGTTGGGAACGGTGTATTGTCAGTAGGGAGAACTACTTTGAGGGGCAAAGTGCTTAACATGTTGTGCAACGAACAGTAAGGGTGTTAAAGCCGAACTTCGGTTTCTTTTTGAACACATCTCGTATAGCTGAATATTTACGCAGATCCGTCTAGTTGGGATGTCTGTGAAAACAAATCCTCTATGTAATCCAACCTCCGGTTCACTTTCCGCCAAAACGTGACAAAATTGCTTCTCTATAGGAAATGCTCAACAAAGTAGGGCTCAGTTCAATCTTGGCCAATTGGTTTTAACTCCTTAGCCATCTTAATTTTGCAAAAGTACACTTGACCGTATCTGTGACATTTCGTTTAACTACATTTTTAGAAGGAATACTGCTTTACAACATTATCGGGAGACTTAAGGCGGTTCGCGAAAAGAAACTTCCTTATGACCTATTACCATGATAGTAGAGTTTGTCTCTGAATCTGCTACCATGTTTGTCAAGTTTAAAACTTGTGGTTCGTTGAGCATCCTTAGTGTAAGCTTGCAGTGTTGCTTCTGAATCTCACTCACCCCACCACCCCACAAGCTGGGTATTCTTGTTCTGATGTTGACATTTGTTAGAGCTGACAGGTTACACATCAACAGTAACCACCTAAACTGATCCTCTGCAATCGACTTAATTTCGAATATTCCACACCATTTTCACTGCCCTACGTATTTTTATCGATTATTGTTGTTTGATTGCTAGTCCCCAAATATTTCTGCTAGCCGAGCGGTCGTTTCCTCAAAACTGACTTTATGCACACTCTTCAGTAGCATGAAATCAACATTTGCCGTTCTCGACTGATCCTCCAAAGCGCTCGACAGTAGCCGAACTTGTTACGTGCAACAGCAAGGCACGATAGCTCTATACTGACGATATCTTTGTATCTCCTGAACCATATCTGCAATATCAGTTCTGAATCAGGATCAAGATAAACTTGGTGCTTACTACGTCAGTAATAGGATCCTCAGCAACTTAGATTGCTGTGATTTAGTTGTACATAAGAGAAGTTAGGGTTTTAATCATTCACGAGCGGCGCTTGGTACGCCAGCCGGGATTTCATTGTTTGGCTCTGGGAATGCTCATCGTGTGTTTAGATCGCGGCATGCAATCTCATTTGGGACCGCGGTTTACCTCGATCATTCTGATCCCTGCGACCACATCGGAAACGGAGAGTTTTCGGTATCACTCGGCTCGGTTTATTCGGAATACTGGCCCTGTCTCTTGTGTCTTTTAGTGCTTAGCGGTTTGCCAGATTCCACTCCGATTCATGCGATTCATAGCCTGTCAATTGCTTCACCTAAGGTTCGCATGCGGTTGAGCGTTGTCGCAGATGTACCGTCATATGTTGTCGTTAGACGCACAAATACTTCTGAATCTCATAAGGCTGTGTATGCATGTATGCGCCAGATTCCAGTAGTTCTGTAATCATACTTCGAAATGAGTCCTGTTCATCACAACTTCGCGCGACAGTCTATTGAATCAAATACTAAACTTTGATACTTTCGAAATAACCCCGCTACCACTCCGGATGCTCCCTCGGGGTATATTCAAGGTTTGTGAATGCACCGCTGTACGGTGCGGCACGCAAGTTGTCGCGTGTCTGGGTATCTGTAGTTCGCACCTTCAATGTGTAGGACACTGCTACAGGTTTGTACTAACGCATCACCGTCCCCGTTTATCGTTGAGATACCACCTGAGATAGCTGACCAGTTTACTTGTTTAAGTAGCTGTTTCACCTTTAATGTTTAGACCACCGTAGTGAAGGCAGTGCGTAGCAGTCAATCACCGAGGGCGGGGGGTGGTAACGTTCAAATTACTCACATACGGTCTGGATTCAGTCACCTTGTTAGCATTATTGTATATAATAGTAATAACCATAATAATACGCATGTTCCAGAATCTCGGAGCATGCTTAGAACCGACTGGGTTTTCATAACTTCAGAAGGTTTTGAATACAAATTGGCTTTTGTTGGTTTTTAATATCGCATCGTTTCGCTCTTGACGCAAGAGCTTCTTCAGGCCAGTAATACGCATATTTCTCCTGATGCGAGAAACTGTCTTTAGGTGCAAAGATTAATTTGCACAAAAGTATCCATGCTCTTGCATGGGCGATATGTATAGGTGGAACAATGGGGTATAGGTTTCATGTAGTTACGTTCTAGTGGATGGTTAAGGCGAAAGCCTTGTTTTGGAAACATTGGTCTTTAGGTGTTTTGTGCTCCTCTTGGAATAGCTCATCAGAGGATCTTTTCCATGTGAATGTAGTGATTATAGTATTTAGATCAAGGTAACTGAGATAGTCTGCTTCTAAATGTTGCCACATTGTCACATGACCTGAGTGTTATTGGTAGTTTATTCCACAGATAGCTATATCTGACCAGGAAGAAATTAGAGCGGACGTTCGTTCTATCCTTCGGTATATTCAGTGTAAAACCGTCGTTGCGAAGCGCTCGAGTTGAGCTATGTTGTAAATTGAGTGTAGGCAGGTCGAAATTGGTCTTTTTGTGTAGCATGTTGAAAAGCAGCAACAAGTTGTGCTTCAGTCACCGAATCCAAAGTGGTTCGAGATGAAGTTCATTGCAACCTTCTCGATATTTAAAATGTTTCGGAAATCTGGTAGCTCGGGTTGATAATTCAGTTGCTCATTTGTTCGCTCAGCTCGGCAAACCAATGAGCAACTGAACCTTCTCGATAACTCATAGCAGAGTGCTTACCAATCACGTGTTCAGTAAATGCTCTCTGCAGGGGCTTCACAGCAATTCTATCACTCTTTCTCATATTTCCGTATCCTATACTACAGTGTTCGAGGATGTGGCGGGTGATTTGCTTAAAAAGCCCAACTCGAGGATGCTTTGGTTGGGTGGATCCTGTTGGATTGTCTGACACGTGCTACTTGGTATTGGGCTTGTTCGGAGAAATTGAAGGTAGACGAATACCTAATTTCAAGATCTCGCCTGGACAGCTGTGTAGGGATTCGTTCATTGTTTAGGGCGATAGAACCTTCGGAGATGCAGCAGCCCTAAGACTTGTTGCTTGATTTCTTAGCCGAGAGCTTCACTACCCACGTGTTGCACCATGACTTCAGGGGAATGTAAGTCATCTTGAATGAGCAGTAGCGTTCCGTGAAGCTCGTCACGCCGAAGCTTATAGACAGTTTTAATATCTTCAGTAAATACAAATGACCTTCCCTTTTTTACTAATGTGGTGATGTCATTGATATAGAGCAGGAACCATACAGGACCTGGCACGCTTCCTCGAATAGGCAGTAGAGAAAAGCGATAATCAGCTAAAATGACTACCTGGTGACGAGCACTCTGGTATAACGTTAGCCAACGTAATAATGGGCCCCGGATCCCAAAGGATTGTAACTTTCGTAACAACCGCTTGTGGGGTGCTCTATCGGATGTTTGGTGTATGTCCAAAAACAGAATTACTACTACATAGCTGGAACATATCGATTCTGAAACGTAGTTCAGGTAGTGCAATTAGCAGGTGGTGCATGATCACTTGTCAAGAAAACATACTGCAAATTATTTATCAGGCCCAACGAATTGACAAGGTTCATCACATTTCTGACCAGTTTTTCAAATAACCGCGCGATTATCGGAGTGTGGTGGATTGATCGGTTGTTATCAATCGTCTGTTTGGGACTTCCTCTGGCCGAGGCATGATAAATGATGTTTTCCATCGATCTGGAAAGTGACCAGACTCCAGCGATGAGGTAAACGTGCTCATCAGGAGCAGTGGTATATCAGGCCCTCCTAGTTTAATAGTGTTTTGTGAAATGCCATCAAATCCCAGCTTGGTGGTTACCACCGATGCTAGCTGAGGATTTTAGTTGACCCCTTGTATTTGACCACAGATACCTGCTCAGCTTTACTCATACTTGAGAGTGGCAGCGAAGAGAAAGTTTCGCTATCTGCTGCCCGATAGGCTCGTCATCACCCTATCTAAGTGTATTTCGCTTGTTACACGTGAGCGTACCTCAAAATCACTAACACTGCACTTTACTTGATGAAAGCACAGAGTGGTCAGGCGATATGATCGCGAAACGATTTAGATTAGTTGGCTGCAAGACGGTGCCATTCTTACCCGAATTCTTGCGCGCGGACCTCGCCATCGGCCGCGTTATTCTTTATTAACCGTGTCGAATATTGCACAACCCAGAACCCAGAACCGTTCAGTACTTTGCTTCTGCTCGCCGGCAGTAACATTTGTTTGTGTTAACTTCGTCAGATCTACCATCTATGGATTCTGTTTTGTCCCCTCACATCTGGTACTGGTGAGGAGACACCAGTAAGGATATCGGAATCCTTCATCCCATCTGATTCATAGTTTTTAACTGATGGTGCTCTGCTTTTGCTGGTCTAACTACACATTGATTCACTTTTCTGTTTTTCTTTGTTCGTATTCATAGGCAGTTTATGCGCCAGCTGAATTTCGCTGGATTGGAAGTGGACGAAGCCTTGCGTTTCTTGCTGAGTTGCTTCCGGACACCGGTGCGTCTCGACCAATTTCGCTTCTTGACTGCCGCGTACTTATACACAGCTTCCTAGTATACATTTAGTCCTTTCGCTTGTTCATGTTCAGACAATTCATGATGTGAATTTCATCGCTGTTTGTTTTCGGTAACCCCTTATCAGAATCACTACGATAATACCATGGGCAAAATGATATCGCATTCTTCCCTGCACATGATTTTTTCCTGCTTCATCCGTTCAGCATAGATATGACTCTATCCTCATGGCTTGTGGCTATTGGTGTAGGCACATGACCATCCGGCTGGACTGCATGGCCTGCACCCCATCAGTCCGTTTTGAGACTTGCGTAGGTGGGAACCTTAGCACCGACTGTCAACATTACACAGTGGCCCTCCTCCAGCTTGCTTCAATAGTCGCTTGTCTTCTAGTTTCAAATCACACAGTCGCAGGCCATCGCTTCAATCCAGCCTAAAAGTCCATGTTCAGCCAAGCGGACAACGTCAGTTCATCCGGTTCCCTTCAGAGTCCTCGCGTCTCGCTAAGATTGGCATGCCTCAACATGCGCAATTTGCTACAGATTGACCAACAGGCAGCACTTGCTTGCACACTAGAGATCCTATCGATCGCTATTTGCTGTTTATCAGAAACCCACCTGTAAGATTAGAGCTCAGTGCTTACTCTGGGATCCCCCACATGCGACACTGGCGGCACATTCTCACTGCGCTTGTCTGGTAAATGACGCAGCTTCAAATGAAGGTCAAGCCGGCGTCGGCATTGTTTTGAATCCCCGGGCTGAAGCTGCCCTGATCGACTGGATCCCGGTCAACAGTCAGATGTGCGCCGTTAGGATGGCTAATTGGTTCCATGCTACGAAGTCGCGCGAACAAACGGTGCCTGTTTGTCATTGCGGCCTACGCTCCTACAAACTGTGGCACTGATTCGGTGAAAGATAATTTCTATCAGCAACTTCACGACCTCCTTCATTACAGAAGAAGCACGGATGCTGTGGTGTTGGCTAGTGATCTAAACGCCCAAGTCAGAAAATTGTCCTCTGATGAGCTTCATCTGGGCGGCCAACATGGTGTAGGCTCCCGTAATGATAACGATGAACGTTTGCTACAGCTGTGTGAAGATGCTCGTCTCTTTCTCGCGAGCACTTTCGACATAGCACCCACAGAGGAGTGACTTGGCGCCCACCAGCCTCGGGCCAGCCTTGGACGCAAATCGATCACATCGCGATTAGTTGCTGCTGGACAGGTTATGTCCAAAACTGTCGCTCGATTTGGAGCACGAGCGCGGACTCTGACCCCGCACTTATCTGCGCCTACCTTCAGGTGCGTTTCGGTGGACGTCCGCAACGCCAATTCGAACCGATTGACACCAGCCAGCTGGAGAAACCAGGTGTTCTGAATGTGTATCAAAGTGCGCTGACATCCGGGTTGAGTAAGTGCTCACTGAACACCGTCGAAGATCACTGGTCGCATATTCGTCAAACGTTACTATCAGCAGGCATGTCTTCATGTGGCAAATCAAATTGCCAACCTGGACATTGGGTCTCTACACAGTCTCTGGAACTTTTGTATGCTCGCCGACGTATTCTGACTGGAAGCGAATACAATGAGGCTCGCAAAAAATCTCAGAGCAAAACTGCGTGCTAGCCTGAAGAGAGATTGCGAATCCTGGTGGTATCATCATGCCTCGGATATGGAAACAGCCGCTGCCGTTGGTAATCATCATAAGTTATTCCGTCTGATACGGGAAAAAGGCAGCACGAGACCTGGTATTAGCGAGACAATACGCGACGAGAGTGGACAGCTGATCCACAGCCTGTCAAAACGCTTGGAGCGTTGAGCCGAACACTTTGCAAGGCAATTTAACCAACCTGAGTTATCGCCTTCTTTTTCGGGCATTGAGTGCCATTCTCCATGGGCCTTCTCCTTAGATCCGCCCTCACGCGCAGAAGTCGAACGTGAGATCAGACTGTTGAAATTGCATAAGGCGACTGCCTGGTTGGGATACTAAAGACGATGAACATGTTTGGTTGGACACATTTGCTGATATGGCTAGGAGCCGGCCCCAATGGCGTTTGTGTTGTGAATTACTTTGTCCATCCCCCTCCCTTTAGGTTCCCCCTCCAATCACGATCTCATTCACTAGGCATAATATAACTCTCTTTTTTACGGCATGGTGGCTGGTTGTTAGCTCTCCAGGTCGATGTCCATCCGTTACTGGGGACTCAGCTGGCGTGCCACTGTTGTACATTTTTTCTTGTCTTTAGTATTGCGGCACAATGGTTGACGTGTTTTCCGCCTGCAGCTAACGTGTATAATGATGATGGTGATAATTCCATTCTCCGCCAATTGTGGAGTAATTTTCTTCCCGCGAATACGACGGCTATTTTAACTGTTCTCATCGACGACTTCCGCTAGACAAAGTGACAGAAGCTGCTGATGAAGTTCACGAACGCTTCATTAAACCGTCGGTATGCCACGTCAATGGGACTAGATCAGGCAACGTCTCCGGAATCACGCTACTTGATCCAGTCAACGAGAGACTTTCTAACTTAGAGCTCACCTTGTCCCACCTCATACGTGACCGCGTTCCTACGCGACGATCCATTTCTCGATCCAGTCGTCATAGCAACTCTCGTACATGACAATCACACCGCTGTTGTTATTATCACCACCGCTTCGGAGAAGCAGCACATAACTGTCGTCCAGGGTGTAAACACCCTAAAGCCTTTTTAACTCCTACGTCTAGAAACCACGTGGCCAGCCAGTAATGGCGGCGGCTGTCGTTTGCCAGGTTATTAGTCGCCTGTTGTACGCACTTGACTCCACAACCAGACTTCACTTCTTGGTTGATACTGGTGTAGAAGTCAGCGTTCTCCCTCTTTCTCTGGCAAAACGCCCCCTGCAACCAGCTGGTCCAATGCTAACGGCGGCCAATCAGACTAAAATCGTGATATACGGCCAGAAATTACTTACTTTAAGTCTGGGACTACGGCTGCGCTTAGTGGTGCAACCGAATCTCTGAATCTATCCTATGCTTAGATTGTACTGCTGCTGTTAGCGTTGAAAACATCTGCGTAACCAAATATCGCTTGTTTATCCACTCGAGTGCAGTAATCCCTAACTAAAAATGATGTGCGGACAACATTTTCCCCTTATTCCTTGATTACTTGCTTGTTGTGAGTCTACCAAATGTTTAGAAGTGTGCTTTGGGATCTGGCTCTTCAAACGCCAATGTGTGCTTCTGCAGGTATGCCGGTTTATCAGAATGCCCATGCGCCTATGGTGCACTTCGAGTCTGCCTCACCGAATTATGCTCCACTCGTTCACTTCATTAGACCAAACACCGAAGTGTGGGTTCTCCAGTCGCCATCATTCATGTCAACTGATATGAATACTGTGATTTACAAACGAGTGAGAATGGAAAATAAGGGCCATCAACACTGAATCAAAACATTCGAAGGATCAGAAGTTGGGAGAAGAGAATTACACGAAAGGGCGTTATTTTAACTTTTCGATGTCGTCACATCTGTATATTGCGAACAACTTGGCTCATGCCGAGAATCGCACAGGCCATGTTATGTCAGTTTGTGAATGTCCTTTTGGCCATGACACTCCCCGGACCCTGCAGGTCGGCAAATGGTACCTCGAGTTACGCGGTCGACAGACCCTCCAACCCATGTCCCGCCACCAAATGAGGGTCAAGGTAAATGCGCGGCTTAGTGCTGTCCCAAACGGCGCTGCCCCTGCGCTCCAATTGCTCGACATGACCACATTCTCTACTTCCGCAAATGAATGCCAAGGCGTCACGTATGCAAGTGCTCATTCATTCACTCAGTATACACGTCAAATGCAGGTGGAAAACACCTCAGCTATTGTGCCACCATACCAAAGACAAGAAGAAAAAATGTACAACAGCGGCACTCCGGTTCTTCGCCTATCAGCGAGTGTGTCCAACCACATGTTCATCGTCTTTAGTATCCCAACCAGGCAGTCGCGATGTACCATCCGGCACCGACTTCGAAGTGTGGGTTTTCATCTCTCTCGACCAAGTCATCGCGTGGCTTCCTCTCCTCTTCCAACCACACCCCCGGCGCGCAAACAATGCACATCACGGGAGTCGGTGTGCTAGCATGCGCAACACGTGGCCCAGCCATCGGAGCCTGGTGCTTGATATAATGGTGCTGAGCAGTTTACTCGCTCTTCCTGCACCAAATACGCGACGTCGAACACGGTCATTGTTCACGCGGTGTTCCCACCAGAAATGAGATAAGCTGCGAAGGCAGCGATGATCGAATGTGGCCATCCACTTTATGTCTGTCGGCCTGCTGGACCAGGTTTCGCAGCCGTATAAGAGGGTTAAACGGACAGCTGCATTAGCAACTCTGCCCTTTTGGGCGACAGTGATGTCGCGTCTGCGCCACAGGGGATAGAGATTGGCAAAAGCACCTCGAGTTTTTGCTATACAGTTCGTGACCTCACCTTCGATCCCACAGGCGCTAATATAGCTGCCCAAGTACTTGAATTCCTGAAAGACTTTAGCTGATCACCACCAAAGGTCAGCGCAGGGATGGGTCACTGCCAATCTTGGAGTAGTTTGCATTTCGATGGAGCAAAGCATAGCCCAAAACGATTGACGGCCAGTGCTAATCGGTCCAATGCAGCCTTGCACCATTGGGCGCTGTCACATATGAGGGCAATGTCGTCCACATCCTCCAAGTCAAGTTGTTCACCAGGAAGTAGCTCCACACCGTTTAAGTCTTATCCAGTGAACGCTGTTTCCAGGATTTCGTCAATGGCGAAATTAAAGAGGAAAGGTGACAGCGGGTAATCTTGTCTCACACTGCTTTTGACAATGAAGGGTGGCGACAGTTTGCCATAAATTCTCACTGCCCGAACTATGCGCGTACAGCGCTTTGATAATGTTTACATATTTATCGGGCACACCTATTCTCAGCAGACAGTCCCAAAGGGCACATCGATCCACCGAATGGATGGCACCTTGAA